CCCGGCGGGGCCCAGGCAGGGGCTGCTCCAGACCGCCCACCCCTGCCCGCTGGCGCCCAGCTGCACGGCCCCAGCGCGGCGGCCACAGCGCTCGCCCCTGAGGCGGAGCGACGGACGACAGCGCCCGGCGCACCCTCCCGCACGATTGGAGCCGCCGGGAGTTAGAGCCCCAGGTTCGAGGCCGGCGCGCCCCAGCCCACACTGGGGATCCCGTACACGCCCTCCCCGTCGGCGCGCTCACCTAGGCCCCCGCGTCGCCTCCGTAGGTGTCCCGCGGGGTGGGGATGCCCCTGGCACGGCGGCGGCTCCAGGCACAGTCGTGCCACCCGCGTGCCACGTTTCCGGGAATCCCTAGCGACCGCGGCCCCGCGAAGGAGTCCCCTGCCCGACTCTGGCTGTTAAGGGCTGTGCGAGCCTCCGCCGTCGGGGAACCTCGAGGAGGCGGGGAGAGGGCGGAGAGGGCGCGGCGGAGAAGGAACCGAGATTCCCCGCCCTTCCCGCAGGTGCCCGGCGCCCATCCGCAAGGAGCAGAGCATCGGGCCAGGGCGCAGGGCCAGGCTGGCGCGGCCGGTCCGCTTTTGCCCGAGCCTGTCATCCGCCCGGTTTCCTCCGAGAGCATCCCCGCACAGGACCGCTCTCCACGACCGTATCTGGATCCAGTTAGGATCATCTACTAGTTGCATGTTCGTTGTCTTAAATATTTTGAGTTACCTCTTATCAAGAGGCGCATGACCCTCGCCTATGAGAGTTCTAAGCCCCTATCTACCTCTTAGCTCTGTGCCAGAGGGCCTCTTACTTAATTTCTGTGCCTTCAATGACCATCTTGTAAAATGCTAATAATAAGGGCCAGCAGGTGGCGTGGCGGTTAAGGTGTTGCACTCCCACTTGGCTGACCATGGTTTGAGTTTGGGACATGGTGGCTTGCTTTCTTACTTTCCCTCTCTCTCTCTTTGTCTCTTTGGCGAATTAAAATAATAACAATAAATTAAAACTAAATAATTATTTTTGAGGACTAAACGCAAAGGCTAGCGCCCAAGAGATATGAACAATTGCTATTTTCCATGGCAAGGGATACCGATTCGCCATGCATACCGTTAATGATGTAAAGGTAACTCTCAAATAAATGTATTTAAACTCATCTTTAAAAGAGCTCATCTAAATGAAAATTATGTGAATAATAGGAGGAGAGATGTTGGCCTGAGAAAGGGTACACGGGCCAGCTGGTGCCATAGCGGTTAAAGCAGCTGGATTCCACATCTTTGACCTCAGGGCTTGAGTCCCGGACCTAGGATCTTGAAAGACCAGCCAGGCTTGCGCATGCCCAGAATCCTGAAGGGATACTGGAGAAGAGATTGCTGCATGGCCTTCTCTCCTGGGGAGTGCTTTGTTTCTTTCTCTGTGCAGCCTCTAGCAAAATTTTAAAATCTAAATAAAGAGTTTCTGGAGCCTCCAGGGTGAATTGGGAGGATTCCTTATCCCCGCTCTAGGTCTGGAATTGAAACAGCCCCAGGAGTAGGTTAGAGTTTCCTCCATCATTGCCAGTAACTGCAGTTCTGGTCATCTCCAGAGGGGGCGCCCCAAAATATTACATTAGTTGGCCAATATGCCAACTGGCAGAAGCTGTAATCTCTCCCAGCATGCTGGTGAAGATGGCCTTTTATATCTCTCAAAATCACACCTAGAGGAGTCAGCAGGTGGCATAGTGGTCAAGGTGCTGGGATCCCACATGGTCAACTGTGATTCGAGTCCCAGACCCAGTGGCTTGAAACTCACGCCAGGCGTATGTGTGTGCATGCATTCCAAAATCCTGAGAAATTGGAGAAGGGATTGCAGTGTGGCCATCCCACCTTGGGGGTTTCTCAATTTCCCTCTCTGTCTCCCTGTGATTCCCACATGGTGACGGTGTTTTCAGCCCTTAGACCTCGTGGCTTGACACAGGGCAGGCACCTCCGTGCCCTAGGCCTAGTGGCTTGAAAATAATTTGGGCATGTTGCAAAATCCCATTAGGAGAATGGAGAAGAAGGGACTGTGGTGTGGCCATAACCCCTGGGGAGTGATTTCTTACTTTCCCTCTCTCTGTCTCTCTCTAGCAAGTTCATGTGCCCTATGGCAAAAACCCTTATAAAAGGGGCGGGCAGCCAGTGTGGCCTTGTGGGTGATTAAGGCACCTGAACCCCACATGACCAACAGCATGGTTCAAGTGTCAGGCCAGCAGCTTGAAAAATATGCCACTCGGGAGGCCAGCAGGTGGTGTAGTGGTTGAGGGTGCTGGACTGCCACATGGCCGATCACAGTTCCAGTCCTGGACCTGGTGGCTTGCTTTCTCACTTTCCTTTCTCTCTCTCTCACTCTGTCTCTCTCTGATCAAATTGAAATAAAGAAAGTTGAATAAAATAATTCTTCTCAAAAATATATGCCACTTGAGGCCAACACATGGCATAGTGGCTAAGGTGTTGGACTCTCACATGTTTAGCCATGGTTCAAGTCCGGTGGCACGTGTATGCATGCCCAAAATCCTGAGAGGAGAATGGAGAAGGGATTGCGGCATGGCTATCCCCCATGGGGGACGATTTCTCCCTTTCTCTCTCTCTGTCTCTGTCTCTCTCTGGTGAGTGCATGTGCCCTATGGCAAAAAGCCTAAAAAGAAGAAAAATATGCTGGCCATGTGTGGATGTGTGTCCCGAATTGGAGAAAGGATTGTGGTGTGGCCATGCCCTGTGAGGTGTACTTTTTTGCTTTCCTTCTCACTCAGTGTTTCTCTCGTGAGCAAATGGCCAATAGCAAATTGGAAAAAAAAAAAAAAGAAAAGAAAAGGAGGCAGAAAGATGTTTGTCTCACATGTGAAGACAACAGTGAGAAGGTGGCTGCCTGCAAGCCAAGAAGAGAGCCCTCACCAGAACCAATCCATGTCCACATGGTCTTGGACTTCCTGGCTTCCAGAACTGTGAGAAAGAAATATCCACCATTTAATTACCCAGTTACGGTTTTTGTTATGTCAATCCAAGCCAGTTAAGACAGCAAGACTAAGGGCTAGCTGGTGGCATGGTGAGTAAGGGCACTGGATTCCCACATGGTCGACTGTGGTTCAAGTCCTGGGCCTGGTGACTTGTTCTCTTCCTCTCACTCTGTCCATCTCTGGTCAAATTAAAATAAATGGATAAATAGGGACCAGCAGGTGGCGTGGTGGTTAAGGCGCTGGACACTCCCACATGGCTGACCAGGGTTCAAGTCCTGAATCTGGTGGCTTGCTTTCTTACTTCCTCTCTCTCTCACTCTCACCCTCTTGTCTCTCTCTGGTCAAATTAATAAATGAATGAATAAATAAATAATTATTTTTAAAAATTATTTTAAAAATAAAATAAATGGATAAATAAATAAAGTTAATAAAATAATCCTTACCAAAAAAAAGACAGCAAAGCAAGGGTTGGCAGGTGGCATGATGTTAAGGCGTTGGACTCCCACATGGTCAACTGTGGCTGGAGTCCTGGACCTGGAGGCTTACTTTCACTTTCCCTTTCTCTCTCTGGTCAAATTAAAAAATAATAATAATGGGGCTGGGGGCCAGCAGGTGGTATGATGGTTAAGGACGCTGGACTCCCCCGCAGTTCGAGTCCCAGACCTGGCGGCTTGCTTTCTCTCTCTCTCTCTCTCTCTCCCTCCCCCTGTCAAATTAAACAAATAAATAAATAAAGTTAAATAAAATAATTCTTTTTTTTAAAAAAAATAACGGGGCTGGCAGGTGACGTGGTGATTAAGGGCGCTGGACTTCCACATGGGTGATTGCAGTTTGAGCCCCGGACCTGGCAGGCAGCTTGCTTTCTCATCCTCCCCCTACTCTATCCCTCTCTGGTCAAATTAAAATAAACAAGCAAACAAATAAATAAATGGATAAATAAAGTTAAATAAAATAATTATTTTTAAAAAGTAATAATAAAATAAATAAATCTTAAATAAAAACAAAGACAGCAGGGCAATACCAAATGTGTAGATGTGCAAGAATTTGAAATGAGCACAGCAAAATTTAGAACTGTACCAAACTTGTGTAAAAATTTCATGTCAGCTTCTTTATCTACAGAATAGCTCTGGAAGTCCCCCGGGAATCCCGACAGTGATGGTAACCCAGAAGGGGAACTGGTTTTTCTTTTCTTTTCTTTTTTTTTTTTTTTTTGAGCTTTGGGATTTTGTTTTTGTTTTGTTTTTGAACTTTGTAGAAGAATCTATAAATCCCCTTCCATCACACCACCGAACCAAGCCAACAGTGAATCAGTGTGTCTGAGGAGGTCTCCGATTACTCTGGAAAACAGAGGAGCGTGGAGTAGGGTCACCATGCGGAACAGGGAATTGGGTCCAGTCCTGAGAGTGACACGGGACCTGCGACCTCAGACTTGGCTGTATTTGCGTCCCAGGAAATCAATTCGATTCCCATGTGTTTGGTTCTTAGAAGTAACCAGATTGTGACCTGTGACCGATGGAGTTTTGGGGCCAGAGCCCCCAAAACACCAGCGTCAAAAAAAAAAAAAAAAAAACCAGCGTCTTCTCGGCGGCCTGCAGTCCCTAGATCTCCCGGAAGGTGGCGCTCTCTAGTCTGAGTCAGACGCCCCCGCTCTGCACCCTCGGGCCAGCCCAGCAGTGCAGGGGTCAGGAATGCGCCTGGGGACATGTGGGGGGGGGCATAGGCAGCGCGCCTGGAGCCTTTTATGGGCACAAACGGTGGCCTAGTATCGCCCCCAGCAAGAATGCAGACCCTCGGAGGAGGCAGTGCTGGCTGGGACTTGCCAGACCCCTTGGCCCGGGAGACTGACAGTCTGGGCTAGTATCTGGACTCCCTGTTCGTAGTTTAGAAAGTCTGCCTTGCAAGATTTGGGTGAGAAAAATGTGGGTCCCAGGGTGAGAAAAATGTGGGTCCCAGGGTGAGAAAAATGTGGTTCCCAAGCCTATTCTAGGGAGGGTGGGTCCAACAGGCACAATAGACTGTAATGGCTTTTAGAACTTTATTCTATTTTTATTTTTTACTTTTTAAAAAAGAATCTGACACCACTGTGACTCCTAGAGTCAGATATGGGGGTGCCCTGCCCTGGACAACTTTCTTTCCCCTCAATTCCTCCGTGACTCTCTGTGCGGTGTCTCTGAAATCTAGCCAGACGTTCATTTGGCCTGAGCATGGCCAAAAGGTCCCATCATCACTCTTCCAGGCCAGTGAAGCCATTTTCACCTCTTCTGCCTTCCACTCTCACGCTCCATTAGAGGCCCTACCCTGCTAGTGAACCCCTGAATCAGGACAAGTCCATCCTCTGCCTAGAACCGTGGCTCCCGTGGCTCCCGCTTCTCTCCGAGCAAAAGCAAAGTCAACCTCTCAGCCCCTGCAGCTCGATCTGTCCCCCATGCCTGCCCTTGTCCCCTCTCACTTTGCCCCTTCATCACTGCTCCAGCCACAAGAGCATCCTTGCCTTCCAGCCTCAGAGCCTTTGCTCTCCCGGTTCCCTCATCCTGCAATGCCCTTCCTTCGCGTGTTCCCAGGACAGTGATGCCTCAGCTCCCATGGCCTTCCCTGACCACTGTGGCATCAATATTGTCCCCGGAGTTATCTCCGCCCCCCACTCCCGCCCCCGAACGTCAGTTTCATGACTGCAAAGATTTCGGTCGTTTGTTCACTATCGTGGGGCTCAATGTCAATAAATACATCCCCCCTATGTGTTTTCCGTCTTCACCATCTTTGGCTGCGTTTTTCTACAAATCCCTTTTTATTTTAAGAGAAAAAGTCTGCAAAGCAGCTCTGGGGGGAAAGGCAGTAGCGGGCCGAGGGCGTCAGTCTGCAGCTGGTTCCGGTACCAGGGTCCGGGCGGCCGTGGGCGCAACAGGGCTGCCGGTGGAGCCGCTGGTGTCAAGCCCGTCCCGCTGGGGCGAGGAGCGTTCGGAGGGACTGGAGCTGCCGTCCAGGCCCAGGGGCAGGCAGCGCCGCAGGCCCCCTGAAGCCCCAGCTGCGCTCCCGGAGCGCTGGGGGCCTTCCTGCCTTCGGCAGCAGGGGCGGCGGCCGCAACACACCAGGCGCAGGAGCGCGTGGCGCAGGTCGCGGTTGGTGAGCGTGTAGATGATGGGGTTGAGAAGCGAGTTGGCCATGGCCAGGCCCAGGAAGGGATCCGCCTGCAGGAGCACGGGACAAGCGCGCGCAGGGCACGCCACGTCGAGCAACAGCAGCAGGAAGAGGGGACCCCAACACGCCACGAAGGCCAGGAGCACCACGCTGAGCGTGCGCAGTAGCGCCAGGGAGCGCGGCGTGCGGCGCGCCCGGGTCGAGGTGCCCCGGCTAGTCCCGGGCCTTGCCCGGAGGCGCCGCGCGTTGGCGCGCACCTGGAAGTAAATGCGCGCGTAGAGAGCACAGATGGCCGCCAGGATGCCAAGGAAGGCGAGCACACAGAAGAGCACGTAGGCCTTGGCGTAGAGAGGCAGGACGGTGGAGCAGGCGTCCAGGCGACCCAGGCAATTCCAGCC